CATATCTAGAATTTCTTAATTTTTAATAAAGATCTTCTTTATTTAGCATCAATATTTATGTAATTTTGTAGATTACCTTTCTTGTTTTGGACATAAAAATATCTGCTGTTATCACTACCCGAGTTTGATTTTGACTAAATTTGAAAGGTTATAAATATCAAGGGAGTATATCAAATATAAATATTATTGCAAGTATAACATGTTGAATTATAAATAAACTTCGTATTTCTATTGTGATATTACTAACTCAAATTCACTTTCAATGTGGATTATACTTTCGTTTCAGAAGATAGGGGGATTGATTTAGGGATGGAAAATTTGTTATTTGCCACACTTTCACACGCACCAAAGTCATTTGTTCTGGACAGATTATGTCATGATGACATATCACTTACTTCGTTTTCCGTTTCGATCAATGATGTAGCAAATTACAAATTAAATTTGTTGGCACTTAGAAAATCTAAGGCAGCTTGTTCTTATCAAAGGGTTTTTATACAGAAAGGTAATCTTATCTTCTTCTTTGGCAGCAAGTTTCACACGATGCCCGGAAGATGACGGGGCGGGGTGTGTTAGGTCATAAACAGCTTATTCTTATCAAAAGGTTGTTGTTATACAGAAAGGTAATCAAATTTAGACGTTTTTGGTATAGGTAGCGGCAAACTTCCTTTTCTCTGTAAAATTTGCTACTACGCAGGCTGTTGTTCATGGTTTATGCTGAAGAAGTTTGCCGGGGTGTATAGTAATCAATCGGTGTGGTCGATGCGTGATCCCCCGGGAGATGACGGGGCGGGGTGTAGTGGCCGGGTAGCCGGGTAGGGGAGAGGGAGCGGGGAGGGTTCTGGTGAGGGCGGGGGACAGGGGGCGGGGCCGGCCCGCCCGGGGTGGCATGGCGGCGGCGGGGCCGGCGACGCCGCCGCGTCTGGCGCGTGCCCGGCGTGCTCATTCCGCCCGCGAGCGCCGCGCCGCGAGCACGCCATGCTCGACGCCGTATCACAGTGTACACGCCGCGCGCGCGACCACTCCCGCGCACATGCCAGCGCTAGTGATGTTACCAGACTCTGTTGTTATGTGCCATTGGTCCGTTCGTGAACGAGTGCTCTTCTATCTGTTCCCGAAGCGCTGAACGATCGCTCTCGCGAGGATATCGCCCGTTTTGCGTGCCCGTTGACGTTGGATGCGTTAAAATTTCGGGTGAGTGAGAGAGGCGAGCGGTCGTGCGCCCGCGGCCGGTTTGACCGCATTATTTTCGAAATACGTACGCCGCAATCCGGTCGACCGCGCTAGAACGATCAAAACATTATAACAACAACATATGAATTCGTCGAGATTGTAACATACGAAATGGCTTTATATATTAAAGTGCCCTGGGCTGTTCTCGTTTTCCGCGTTGGAACCGATTGCTTGCACGTAGTTTCTCTTAGTTTTCAGAAAACAGTAATGTTTGCGTGTTGTTGTTGGTGTTGTGATGGTGTTACGTGTAGTATGGCGCAGAGTAGACCTACACTACGATGTAGGCAGTGTTTACGACGGCCGTGCGCCACAGGTGCCTACAAACGCATCCCGTTGATGTCTTTTACTAAACGCTTTTGGAAAGTGTTTGATCGTGAAATCTGCATTTGCATTTGGTGTTTATATAATTCTAACAGCTATAGTTGGTTTTATAATTCGTCTTGATTGCGATAACATCAATTCCATCATTCGGGCTCACTAATATTCTGACTTATGATGGTTAGGTTTGTAACAATTTGTAATGTTGTTTTTTTTAAAGTATCGACAAAATTTCGATACCAACTTTTATGTGTGAAATAATTTTAATAATTATGTCATATACATATTACATAGTTGTAGTCAATTGTAACAGTCGTAATATATTAATTTCAGAACAGTCCCGTATAATAGTTTTAGTACTTATTCATAACACATCACTGAGGATGTTGATTGTTGAGGATGATAGTGAAATAGAACGATTAATATGTCCCTTAATATATCTTGAATAACCCAGTGAACACATTTCGTAAATCTAAGGTTTAAAGCTAATGATGTTTAAGCTTCATTCTCATCATACGTTTTGACTTAAAACAATGGCATAATATGTCAAACAGAATTAAGTCCTAATTTGCAAGAAGAATAGTGCAAGTTTTTCTTGAGGACACGTAGTTAATACATAAGCGAATGACCTCGTATGTTTACTAGTTCGCGATTAGCCTAAGGTGTTGTGTTGTCGAAATCTTCCATGCCAGCACGCACTAATCGACCTCGAGCGGATAGTATGGTGACACTGAAAGTCATAAATGCGATGCCCAATAAAGTTTTTTTTCCATAATGTCTCAATCAGTCCGGTTGGATATGAAAACGATTTCTTTTGATTTACATAACACATGCATTGGGTGCATAGCTAAAAATGATTTTTACTAAAGTGTTATTGAGTGTTTCTAAATTTGTAATTTCAACGAAGTGCATCCAACCAATACTAAAAGTACAAGTTGATAAGTTTCATTTAGGAAAACAATTTATATATTATAATATGATTGTCATATTTTGAACTTTTGTAATTTATAGAAAAATGTTTACTAGATTTATTTTACTAAAATGAGATAGTAAGTGCTTTTCAAGTTGTTATGAACTTGTGTTAAATGTCTTTTGACGCCTAATTATAAAGACGGTATCTTTATTTGGACTAAAGCTTATAAGGGAACTCCATAAATAATCACACTATCGTCCTTTAAGGATATAGGATAATTCAAAAGTGTATTGCCTTGATATTTATCAATATTCATCCAAATAATTTAATACAACTTCAAGTATAAGGCATTCAATTGGATTGTGTGTTTTCCGTCTTTTTTTTGAATCAGTTTTCTTGCAAAGTGGTCCTACATAAATTTGGTGAATTTGTAATGAATAACCAATCTTGTAATGAATAGCTACTATAAGTTGTGGGAAGAGTACCAACCAAGGTATTAAGTACAACATTTTCTTCAGATACCTAAAATCTCCTTAGTACTAACTAAGTTTATGTTATATACGTCGTAATGAATAAACGTTCGAATTCACTTAACGTAATTTGGTACAAGTTAAAAAATAGGATTGTTTTTATTATAATTATTGGCTTTGTTCATCCCCTGATGGATTTAATCGGGATATAAAAGCTGTAACCCGTGTAAGCGAAGCCGGGGAGCTAATGAATGTCACTATAAATTTTTATTCCTGTAGGTTGCTGCACTTTTTTATTCATCTAGGTATGCGTTTAGGGGAGGGGGGGAGGGATTAGGGTACAAATGTCGTATTTATGAACAAAACTAGTCAATCACTATTATTTTCGGTCAGTAGTACAATGAACGTTGACAAGGGTCTATCATTCAATAACACTGAACTATTCAAATTACATAGTTTTAATAATAACAACGCAACACATCAATATACATATCTTTTCTTCTCAATCATATATTTTTAACGTAAGTAATACAAAAACACTACCCATGTATTTTAGGCCAAAACCATTTTAATAAAAGATTGTTTTAAACAAATGTATCTTATAATAACTTTGCATAATAATTTTACTAGCTAAATTTAGCAATGACTTGTATTCGAATTTCGCGAAATTGTATAAAATACTTGTTTTACAAATTGTAAGTGGTTGAGTGGGTGATCTTCGAACATAAAATAGTGCTTTATCTCAAACCGAGAAGGAGTAATTTAAAACCGTTCAAATGTGTTTTTTTATTTCAATTCATAAGCTCATAGCTCACTTGTCAAGTTTTTCAACTCTGACTTAATTAGAAATTCGATTTGGATGAAAAATCTTGATAATTAAATATTATATCATTACTAAAACCGATGTCGTTGACTTACATAGGACTAGTTTCAATTCTTACTAGCTTTGATCTTAAAAATTTTGGAAGATTATATTACAAATAATTATTAGTAGATTATACACCAAAGGGATAAAGCAGTGTATTATGTAACGGTCAGCATAATATTGAATTCTGAGCACAATGAGGGATTCTGTAGTTCCGAGGAGCTCTAATCTACTTTATACACCTACTGTGCGTTGAAATAAAAGTGAAATTATAAATTTAATTAAGTTAGTTTTTTAAATGAAATTTTATGTAAGAAACATTACTCTAGTTATGAAACTCCCTCTTTTTTTGCTATTTTTCCATTTTATTAACTCTTCATAAACTTTTTTTTGCTGATCTTCTGAGATTTTGGGCCAATTTTATACTTAAAAAGCTCCTTGTACCCAGCAAGTTACGCTTTGAACAGTCTTGTTTTTTAAACTATTTTTGATACAAGTTTATTAAAACTCGCTTTTTAAATTCCTAATTTAAATATCATTATTAGCCAAAGTAGACTAAAGATTTAGACCCCTTAGACTTTAAATTTGGATCTTTGACATAATATAATACGTGCTCCAAACAGGTGGTGTATAAAATATTTGAATAATTCTACGTCTTACCTGTACTAATATTAAACTACAAGAGATGTCTACGATTATTCAATTAAGCATTAAATTAACTTTTTTAGTTTGTTGGATTCACCCCATACGTATAAGTATTATTTCGGTATAAGTGATATTATATATCCCTTATCTTTCGGTTCATGAAACTGGGTGCATAGTAATGCGAATGTGTAACAAGGATTGTTATCCAACTACATACAAAGTGCTCTGGTGCATTCATTAGAAATATCGTGTGATAAACTTACTGCCGGCTGGAAACAGTGTTGGCTTTGTGGAATAACTAACTAATAACATTAAACACAATACACGAGTGTAGACAATTCTAGAAATTTTACTCACTCAGCCGGAGAAATAGTGTTGTACCATTATGCGATCATTGATTCCAAATGTCAATAAAGTGTTTACTATTATTTTAATCTGAGTGATATGAATATAACTCGTGAATAACTTACAACATGATACGTACTTCTTATCAACATCGGTTCTTATCATGTTTGTTATCAATGCACTATAAATGAGTGAAAGGAAGATTTTATGCATTATGTTGTGCTATACGTATGGTGATATTAATTAATGATTTACCAGTTTATTTTTTATAAAGATCTCTTACTATTTAGTACAATAAATTGTATACTTACCTCAAATAAATACATTATTTCATTTCAACATCTAAGAGTAGATTAAAATTTATGAATAGAAAAGCTTTCTTTCTACTTTTTAATAAAGAGGCGCGTTTTCTAACCACGGCTCGTAATTCGCTTTCCATAATTAATGGTATAAGCCATGTGGTCCGTTTTTTTCATAGAAATGCCACCAATTATAATTGTATGTTTCATTGTTTACAGGTGGGTCGAGGAGAATTATGCGTGGGGCGTGCGCGTGCGCGGTGGTGTGCGCGTTGGTCGCGTTGTGCGCGGGCGCGGGACTCGACGAGGCGACACGCGCCGCGGCCGAGCGGCAGCTGCTGTCCCTGCTGGGGCTCCCGCGCCGGCCAGCGCGCCGCCTCGCGCCGCAGCCGCCAGTGCCCCGCGCCCTGCGCCTGCTCTACGCCGGCGGCACCATCCCCGCCGCCGCCGCCAACACAGCGCGCTCCTACCATCACACTCCCACCGACCTCGATCGACGCTTCCCCGCGGAACACCGCTTTCGGCTGTACTTCAACCTGAGCGCGGTTCCGGCGGACGAGGTCGCGCGGGGCGCCGAACTCACCTTTCAAAGAGCGCCCGAAGCGGTTGGCGAACAGAGGCTCCTGCTCTACGACATCGTTCGACCCGGCCGCCGCGGCAAAACCGAGCCCGTTCTTCGGCTCCTAGACTCTGTGCTTCTGAGGCCCGACGAGGGTACCATCAAAGCGGACGCGTTGGGTGCCGCGCGTCGATGGCTCACGGAGCCGAGAGACAATCATGGACTACTAGTGCGTGTCATAGACGAAAAAGAGCGAAATACGAACGCTAAAGTGCCACATGTGAGAGTGCGTAGACGTGCATCGGAGGATGAGGAGGAGTGGAACGCGGTACAGCCGCTGTTGCTGTTGTATACTGAGGACGCGCGAGCGAGAGAAGCTCGGGAAAAGAGTGAGACTCGACTCACGAGAAACAAGAGAGCGACCCGAAGGGGGCACCGCTCGCATCACCACCGCAAGGAGGCGCGCGAGATCTGCCAGCGGCGGCCGCTGTATGTGGATTTCGCGGAGGTGGGTTGGAGCGACTGGATCGTGGCTCCGCACGGGTATGATGCTTACTACTGCCAAGGAGACTGCCCGTTTCCTCTGGCAGACCACCTGAACGGGACAAACCATGCCATAGTACAAACTCTCGTTAACTCTGTGAACCCGGCGGCCGTGCCTAAGGCGTGTTGTGTGCCCACACAGCTCTCGCCTATATCTATGCTTTACATGGATGAAGTTAACAATGTGGTGCTCAAAAACTATCAGGATATGATGGTGGTGGGATGTGGCTGCCGATGACGAAGGAGCCCCCACGACCGGTGCGGACCTAGTGATAAACTCGTGGACCCAGTGTACATATAGTAGTGGCCTCGAAATTGTACATATATATGTGTGTATATATTCGTGTAATTATTATTTTATTCAAACGAAAATATAATAAATCATATAATTCTGAAAGTATCTGTTTTATTGATAGTTATTTCCTATTTAAGAAATGATAGTTGATTATTATCGATGTCAATCAGTTCAGGGGTAGTTACGCAGTCGAAATACTATAACTACGGAAAGTGCGACTCAAATTATATTATGAATTGATTTAAAAATTATTACAAAGTAATTATGTATGAATATAAGAAATACATAGTATTAAATATGTGCTATTTATATAAAATACCTAATATAAATACAAAGTATGGTTTTCACTTGATGGAGAATAATAGAATTTGTACCTCCTTTAATGTTATAGGTAATAACATCCACCGATGAAGCTTATGATAGGATTAAAATTATTATTAAGGTTGATACAAATAGCAACAGATCAAGTAATCTAAAACTATCAATATTCTCCAACTGACTGAGTTGTATAGGATTCAAAACTGTTGAAATAAAAGACTTTGTTGTCAAATAAGGGAATGATTTAATTCAATTAAATAAAGAGTACAACTACCTATATGGATTACAAAATGACATATCAAAAACTAACCAACCAGTATTTCAACAAAAACTTGTGGTAACTTGATACGTTGTTGACTGTACAAAATCAGAAAAAAAAAACAGGTAGTATGCTTTATTATTACGTGAACCAATGAACTTATATATTTACATATAAAAAGTGTAACAGCATACATTTTTATACTGTAGGACAATAATGCTTTCTTTGAACTTAGGCCATTCTCAAACTGCCCCGCAATACACTGCGTAGCGCGGGAGTGCGAGTTGCTTTCAATTACCTCTTTTTGTATTGGAACACGCGTAGTGCAACACACTGAAAAATCCATTCATGCGCAGTGTTGCAGATCACGGGCCTACACGCAGAGAAACACTAGTTTGTATGGCGGAATCTGCACGATGATGCAGTTCTACCTACACTCCCGCAATCACGCGCGTGGCTCTATCGCCAAGTAGCTCAAAACTTATGCAGGGCAGCGTGAGAATCTCCTTATTATCAGTTTTTACGAACTCTAAAAGGTCTAGCACCTACCACAATATAGTACACTCCTTCTAACATGGGCCCAAAGAAAAGGCTATTCCATTCGTTTATAATTTGAAGAACTTTCAAGTTTTGACGTGACAACGTCTTAAATTAGGTTGCGGCTGGGAGTCACTTATGAAAAAGTGTAACGCTCGGTAACGTTACGATGAGTTTAAGTTTACATGTACAATGTTTTAGTAAACAAAATATATTTCTATAGTTAAAATTTGTGCAATTCTTATTTTCATTCAATTCCTTGTTCCTATTGTGCAATTTAATTATATTCATATCAATAAATATTCTACCGAGAAAAAGACGTTGTCACGTAAAATCTTCGCCCGTAAAACCGACTTTACAGGCAACCATTTTTTTCTATAAGGTATCACTGCATTTGAATTCTTTATGTAATTTCTCTGATATTAAAAAAAAATTGATTGGATTTTGACTGAAATAATATTTCACTGAAGGTAAGGTCTACACCGAAACGAATTTTATGAGCTTGTGTCACTCACTTAATTTAGCTACTACTAGCTAAATTTAATTACATCTGATAATAAGAATATCCGTATTCTTTGGGGATATAACCTCCACATTACAGAAGATTACAGCAATTACACTATGATGCGGGGTGGCACCCCCGCTCGGGTTTCCGAGATAAAGAAGAGTGCTCCAGTCAGGCCAAAAATGTGTTATTCTTGAAGAGGCAAAGTGGTATGTATAACGGTTTCTAAGGTTGTAGGTGACATCTTATCTGTGATCTGGGTTTGAATCCCGGTAGTATGACTGCATATATGTATTTCTACAAAAATAAACTTATTTGTGTATCATTATAATGTATTTCTACAGTGAGTCTTGTGGGGCGTGGTTGAAATCGAACTAATTTTAAGAAGGTATAAATAAGGCTTTTATATTTCCTATTACACTTTCCCATTCATAATACATTAAAACGTTTCCTTTAATGAGGAGATTTTACGTACTTAGTTAACCTCATTTCACCACTTATTCACCAACAGCGCCCTTCTGTCAATGTCGTAAAAGTGCCACAACATCTTGGTCGCACTGTATCCGTTAACCAGTGTTGCCAGGACTACCGATTTTACAGGAGATCTATTGTTTTTCTGAAATTTCTCCGCTTCTACTGTTTTGCCACATGAATCTACTGTTTTTCTTAGAATACGATTTTCTTTTTTAAATGGGTTCATGTTGGGTTGCATTTTCCTCCATTATTAATGTAGATAACCTTAAATATAATATTATAAAAGACATTTTATTATACAATAAATTGTAACTGAATAGTATAAATAAGTAACATGGCAAATATTAAACTAAAACTACACTAAAACTATACAAATATTAAAAATATTAAAAAAATAGCTGCCCTAGGTCTTCCCCGTCGGCAAAGGTTCCCAGGACGCTGGCGGCATTTCCCCGCTGAATGGCGAGGCGAAATAGCCACCAGCTCTGCGGTCTCCAGTGGTCTCCACCAATCTTTTTGCGATTTCTTTGAAAAGATGGTGGGCACCGGAGCCCCAGGGTCCCTGAGTCTCGACTCCAAACGCCGCAAATGTGAGGTCTCCACTGAGGCAATCATACTTGCGGCGCTTAAGGGCCTCTGCGGTCGAAGCAGCCGCGCCAGCCTGCATCGAGGTTCCGGGAATATGAGATGGGGCCAGAGTGTCGACGCAGGTTGCGTCCCACACAAGTGCCCGTCCCAGCTTCCAAGGAACGAGTGTCATGCCGTCGGGCCTCTTATCGTCGTCGCGCGCCAGGCCGCTTGGTTCTAAAACGGCAGGCACGCTGGCGGAGGCGAGGGCCCTGCGGATGACATCGTTGATGCAGTGGTGGCGGGTTATACGCCCGGCACTCCTTGTGCAGGAGAGACCGTGATGGCCGAGGTTGGTGACAAACGCTCCGCACCGGCAAAGATGGGGGACGACACAGGGCGAGCCAAGGCGCAAGGACGTGGCTATGCGAAAATTGAGCGGTCTAGGAGCGTACCGATATTCGCGGAAGGCAGTACCTGCAGCCATAGTCCAGACTCCCACTCGCCAACGGCTAAGAGACGCGCACGGTTCGCGGGACTGCTAGCTGATTCTACAAGCGCATTGCGTTTCAGCCTGCAGAGTGGCGCGTCCCAAAGTCGCTGGGAGGCAGGGTCCGTCGGGACGTCGGTGTCAGGGCAGGCTGCACTCCATGTTGCTACGGCTTCATCTAGAAGCGAGAACAAGGACAGGCTCAAAGGACGCCCAAGAATTTTCGCAACGAATTATCTTAAAAAAACGAGTGTCGAGGGGCGGCAGAAGCCACAGAAACACTTTCGTTATTGGCCAATATCTTGATTTGATTCTTACTAATTCTGGAGGGGGGGGGGAGGAGGGGTTCTTGTAGCTGTTTCCATACATCTACTGATATTTCCATAACGCCTCCCGATTTTTAAAAATCGGACCTGGCAACACTGCCATTAACCTAATTTCTCATAACACGAGCCTTACAGTGAGTACTTCGAGGCAAGACTAATTGGAGTAAGTGTAACAAATATTCTTCATTTATTTAGTTTGGATAATTCGTAGGTGTGAATAATCCAGAATCCACATTTAAATATTATCTTCGTCTTTAAATAAATATTATACAATCTATTTACTAAGAAATAGAATACCAAAAAAACTTTGCAGAGGATGTGACATAATGAATACCGAATCCAAAATAGGCCAAGTGCCCAGTCCAGTCATAATACAATTTGTTAAAAATTCAGACTGACTTTTTTGGGGTCAAACCGTGTCACATTAACCTTGTCGTAAGGTTACTGGTGAATGAACCTTCATGAATGGGCTATAACGTCTCCAGGTTGATGACAACGTTGACACAACGTTTTTCAATAAACGCTTGTTTGGGTTATTCGAGCATTATTATGGTTGTGAGTAAGCATGGATGGAGTTATAGCGGTCACAAGTACACTATAACAATGAATGAATGATGACCACTTGTTTGTACTCTGTAAATACACCGTAAAAGTCATTTTTATCAGATCTATCTGAAAAAAGCTAGTTTTTCTCTGTTTACAAGAACCAAAATTTCATTTTACTCTCTTGGGATTTGTTAATAAAAGTTCCAATCACCAAATAGGTCAATCACGGACGTTTTATGAACAAGTCATAGCGTAAACCGCGCCCTCGTCAATATTTTTTTGGTTTTTCTGTTATATGGCATTCTGTTTTTTAACAATAAACCATTTCTTTGGCTGATCCTAGATCTGGACATTTTAAACTTCCACGTGAGCCAAGTCAAGTATTAGTAAAATTCCTTTACAACGAACTCTCTTTTTGGTTGGTAAACAGACCCGTCTTTCCCAGTGGGCACTTTGGGCAAGTACCTAGGGACCCGTGATCGATAGGGGGCCCCCTCAGATCAAATACAAAGTCTCTAGTTATTGTTAAATCACCAAACGGAAGTCATAGGGGCCCCATTATCCTAATATGCCCAGGGCCTCCAATAGGTCAAAGACGGCACTGTTGGTAAATCATTCGATCAGAGTCGGAATGTCATGTCATTTCAAACAGGCATGTGGTATACCACCCTCTCAGGCAAGCCTTGACTGATAGTTAATACTGTACTGGGCTATTTCTTGTCGAACTGTGGTTATTTTAAGGTCTAAGTAAATAGACTTGTTGCCAATACTTGTTGCTGATGCACTGGGAGATACCGAACATTGTCCTTTCCTGGATGAACATATTACTGTTGCTAGCAGTTCCCCACAATTGTATGCCCTATGTCCATATTGGTTTCATTAAGGAGAAAGTACAAACGCGCGAAATACATTCCACCTTCGTTCATATTTTTTTCTCAAATTCTGATTTATTTAGTTTTATAAAAAAAAAGTGTCTTCGTGGAGTAGTGAGAATGAAAGTATGCTAAAACGTGATACAAAGTCCCTACAAAATACCGCGAACGATACTTAGATATAAAAGCATATTATAAACTTTCATCC